ATTTAACGATTTACTGATAAAGAAAACTGAAAAAATCAACATTATGCTTAGTAAGACCATCTGTCTCTAGAACTGTAAACATCATCCGCCTATGGTAACACTATCCGCCTACAGAAAACCACCCGCCTTTGTGAAACTTATGTAAGTTAAAGCGATAAAGTAATATGTGTATAATGAAATATTTGGTCAAGAACAGTAAAGATCATAGCTATATGTACAACATGAAGCCAAGCTGGTAAAACAGTAAAATTGTCATTAAAATAATGGTTTTACTTGTAACATAGTTAAATGTAGACACTGATGACGTAATCGAATGTTGAGATACTCTATGATGAGATCATCACGACGGCAGTTACACTCTTTCTTGAAAATTTTTGCTGTCTCGGCGCCGGCGCTCTCTGATTACTTTTCATGGAACTTTGACGTGAAGCTGAGCAGTGCTCTCTTTTTTCTCCATCTCTTCTTCCAACGCGCCCTCTGGTGATACTTCGTGCAACGTTTCTACTCATTCCCCTCTCCCTTGAGGCAGCCAATCAACGCACGCGTCTGTCGTCTCGCGATAGCTATTCACATCACACTTTGCGACAGTTCAGAATGGTGAACATCAGCCAGAGATCCACTAAAAGGAGAGATCTTATACAGAGTGAAGAATGCAACTGATCGAGCAAAAGCTGAGAGCATTTTAATTGACATACAAAAACCAAAGCTAAACATACAACAGAAAGAGTGGCCAATAACCAACATCGAGATAGCTTGAAACTACGACCTTAACAATTTAATATGACTTATATACTGCATAAATGTTACAATGTATGTAAATATAGAGTGTTTTAGGGCTGTGTAATAAATTACTTATTGTACATTATCGTAGCATTGGACTCAATTTAATCCTGTGTGTGTCTGTGTAATATGTATATGTGTGTGCACAACTGCTGTTTTAGACTAGTTAAATTAAGATGTATAAATCTATATAATATAAGAATAACCTGTAAAATATCAAAAACGATTTCAAAAGTTACTTAAGAATTAATTATAAATATATTGAAGTAAATAGAAATAAATGTTAAAAATACAAGAAGATGCAATATCAATCAAAGGATTCAGTTTGTAAGGATATCCTGACCACTCTACAAGAAGATGCAATATCAATCAAAGGATTCAGTTTGTAAGGATATCCTGACCACTCTACATGAAGATGCAATATCAATCAAAGGATTCAGTTTGTAAGGATATCCTGACCACTCTACATGAAGATGCAATATCAATCAAAGGATTCAGTTTGTAAGGATATCCTGACCACTCTACAAGAAGATGCAATATCAATCAAAGGATTCAGTTTGTAAGGATATCCTGACCACTCTACAAGAAGATGCAATATCAATCAAAGGATTCAGTTTGTAAGGATATCCTGACCACTCTACATATACTTCTTTCTAATTATTAGTTCAATCTTATAAACTTCATCTTATCATATTTAACTAATCCTGATTCATAGAAACTTCATTCCATTTTATCATTTAGATATTTGATTTTGTAAGTTATATGATCTGTTTTCAAACCTTTAGATACAACAACTTCGTAATTTGGTAAAACTTCAATCTATATCATTTTATTATAAGCAATAAAATATTTCACATTTTCTTTACAAAGTCTTTCAACAATATGGCTTTAACATTGCTTTCAGTTGTAAACCAGTGAACATTTTGATCACTGAGTAATTTGAGTTTATTTATTAATGAATTATGTTCCTTTATCAGTTTGAATTCTTTGTGTTTACTGGTTTTTAAAATGTCTTTGAATGCCTTTGTTGTTTCTTTTCTTCCGTTTTTACTTTGATTAGAACAGCCCAAGCATATTTACTAAAAATCTGCATAACTGTTAAGATATATAGTTTGTTATTATTATAAGATTTAAATTTTCTTATATTAAGTAAATGAGCTTGCCATTAATCGTCAGTATTTGTTACGAAAACTATTCTTTTCATTTAAATGTTTGTCTAATCTATATATATATATATATATATATTTGTATATTCATCTTGTTGATGTAAAAATTATGTTATTTCTTTTTTTAGGTAACTAAGGTATTTTTTTCTTTCCTATATATTGATTAAACCTCTCTGGAACATAATAGTTTTTCAACTTTTTTCAAAAATGAAGCCTTTTTTGTACTGGAACTTTACATGTTCCTTTAATTTTAAACTACTTAAAACATGGAAGGCCTCTTGAACATTGTTTGTTTGATTTTGTTTTACACCTTAAACAGTACATAACAGTAAACAAATCAGTTATTTTTCTTTAAGAGTTTGTTTATATATTTAAATTATTTAACACTTTAGATTCGCCAGTTTCTCTGATGCTTCGTTTTTTTTCTGTACCTTGAAGTTTGTAAAAGATAAAATATGGCTCCATCTGACTTTAATTGGAGTTGAATAGTAAAACTGTAATAGATAATAATGAATTTTTCTTTCTTCCTCTTATAAAAGAGTATAGTATGCAATCATCAAAATAATTTTTGGTCACTGAACAAAAGCAGTTAACGTTTATGATACCTTCTAACTTATAAGAATATGTTTTCTTAATTTTTTTATTTATAAATTTCTCTTTATCATTTTTATTACTGATAGATCACAATGTTCTCTTGTAAATTTCTCTCATTTAGGTTATTTTAAATATTTTGCACATATTATATAAATTAACCTGATCTAATTGATCATAGATTTGGTTTTGAATTTTGCTAAAAGCTACACGAGAGCTGTCTGTGCTAGCCATCCCTAACTTAGCAGTGAAAGACTAGAGGGAAGGCAGCTAGTCATCTCCACTGAATAGTGGGATTGTCTGTCACATTGTAACGTCCCCACGGCCTGCAGATTGCGAGGCGAGTGCCCTAACCACCTGACCATCTCAAGCCTTTAACTTATCGTAGATTAGGTTTAACACAAAATTGTTTTTCCACAATCAGATGGAACAACAATTAAAAGTTTATGTGAATGTCTAGGTAGTAAAGGAGTTTGATTAGGATCTTCAGATTTCTGGTTCTGTGTAATCTTTAATCTCTATCATCTATTTCGATATAAATTAGATAAGCATTAATAAATTATCATTGAAGAAGACAGAAATGATAAGTTCATTAAAATGACTATCAAAACTAAAAAATAAGAAAGATGAATAAAGCACAGGCTTTAGATAAAGTAATATATGAAGAATCGATAAGATTCATTAACTAGAAATTCAAAATATGAAATCTAAATTTATTTCTCTAGAAGAAATTCAAGAAACAGGAAGAAAAGTGAAAGCATTAGAAGATGTGATTCGTAACATTATAATACCACAATTCGAGTTTCAGTTGAAATCAACATCTATCGAAGAACCAAAACTATGAGGTGGATTTAACTGAAAGATCAGATGTTTCATTCTTAGAAGAACAATAATTTGTTTTACCATCCAAATTAAACAATAAACTTTATTTATTTGAAAATGTTATTAAAAAGCAGGAAGACTAAATTAATCTTAGGGTATTACAAAAGTTAAAGCAAATACTAAAATTAAAAGATACAACAATAAATAAATATATAACCGAAAAAAAGAGAATAATTTGAATAATTTATTACAAGATACAGCTTTTAGAATAAGTAAGATTTGTTTTAGAACAGGTATAACGTTTCCACCACTGGTGCGATCGTTTTCAAGTACACAAGTTTTAATGGTAAAGAACGTTTTAGTATTTATTTCAACATTCAATAATCTAACAATGTATTTGAATTCTAGAATTGATAGTGGTTACTTATGCATATACATATCAATCCTCGTGAATTGGCAGATTATTATTTATGGCTAAACAGAAAAACAATCAAAGTGAGTAAACATTAAAACTATATAGCATGTTATGCAAAATATTTGTATAAAATTAGGAATGTGTGGGGAAATAACGATCAAAGATATATATGGAGACATTCCTGGGTATTTGTTAATTGTGGAATCATTTGATTTTATTCATCAATCTTCTCTGATTTTTCTTCCAATTCCAGGCTCATGTTTTAGTACTGTGACATTCTGTCCAGAAAAACTGTGGTTGTTTTTGTTCATACTGGCTCTTTTTGATTACTTTCGATTATCTTGTGTTTTTTAACATTTTGTATTTTTTGAATTCGTTGATGTTGAAGTGGCGCAGAAACCCTATCACATACATTACTCTTCTTCACTAATATTCCAAGATCCTTTTCTTCAGTCACGCTAGTTATTAGTTTCCTATCTATATTAAACATATATAATCCAAATTATAATGAAACGCATTTTTTTGCATTACTTTAAGAAAAGCTTTTTGAAATCTATATAATCGAATTTAATACCTTTCGTATCACCTAGATAACATGTAACATCCATGAAAAACAAATATCCGACAATTAATGAAACATTCCATTTGTTTTATGCCATTGCATATCACTTAATGATTTTGTAAAACTTTTTTTTATCAGACTTGCTCGCTGTGTGTTGATTAAATGGAAGAAAGACGCTGGCATGCATGATTTTTGTCCTACTTTAAAATCCTGCTTATATCAGGCTATACGATAGTTAATTATAAAACTTAAGCTATGAATATTGTTAGTAGAAACTGTCTTAATACAGACTCACACAAGCCTCAAAACAAGATCTCAATGTAGCATATCATATGAAAAACGAGGTTATAGGAGATGTTCTACTTAATTTTTACATCTATGAAGATTATTTTGTATTGTTAGCTTAGTGTATAGATATGGGAGTAATCTAAAGCTCCTAAGTACCCAAACCTCATGAGAGTTTATAGAGAATATGAACATAAATATTTATCAGTGAGGATACCGTTCATTCCAATCTAAAGTTTTATATCAATGCATACTTCTAGTTAGAGTAGTATATTAATTAGCTATATTATTTGTAATCTAACTGTTAGTTCTAATCTGCTTTGGTGAGAAGTTATTGATAATTTCATTTTAATCCTTAACATTTTTTGTCCTATACCAGATCATCACCAGTGGTGGAGTGACCTACAAAAACTACCCCTGGCACCGAGAGTGCTTCAGTTGTACCAACTGCAACACGTGTTTAGCAGGACAACGCTTTACTTCACGTGACGACAAACCCTACTGCGCCGAGTGCTTCGGGGAATTATTTGCCAAGAGATGTATTGCCTGCAATAGACCTATCACGGGTAAAAAAACATCATCTCAATTAGTTGTTTCCACAACATAATACATAGGTCCATTTTTCACTTTGCCACAATACTTGGATTACTAAAACAGTATATGTATATATATTCTAGCTACATCCCTTTTTATTAAATTCTGTCACATGGTATTGATAGTGTATGTTCATCATTGTAAGGCTCTGATGCAGAGTGATAAAATTACACATATATATATAAAGTTACACTTCCTTAAAACATATTTTTGCACCAAATGATATTCTGTAATTTCTAAAGTTTTATATTTTATCAATAGCATCTTCAATATTCACAACAGAATACATTGACAGCTAGGAAATGACATCACATAATTATGTGGATCCAATGACAGGAGCAAACACGCAAACGATCGAACGATCATGGCTAGATGCCAAAATACTCATTATCAAGAAAATGAGAGGCGTTAGCAGTGAGCTGTTTGAATCCCACCTTGATCACATTTGCTGGAAAGTGCTAAGAAAAGATCCAGATAATTTATTTGTGGCATTTGTAAATGATATACGAAGTGTATATCGCTAAAGGATTTAAATGTAAATCATTTGTTAAGGAATTAGGATTCACATAATTGTGCTACATAAAATAATTATGTAGCACAATTTTGTTTTTTATCATAATAATGATCATTAATAAATTATTTAGCAGTGTAAATATCCCAGGTAGACTGCTGTTATTCAACATCTTTATATGTTTTGTTTATATGATGAACATACCGCACGCTCGGTAGACCGCACACTATAGTAGCACCAATGTGTTTTTAAGTATTTAACAGCAACTTAGTGCTTATTTCAAACGTCCAAACTTATAATTTCGTATCATCTGTTCTATTGTAATTTAAATTGATATGATATATCACGTAATAGTTAAAGTGAAATATGAAGTTGAAAGGTATGTTACAGTTAAGAACAACCGCTGAATATACGAAAAGTGTATAATTTTTATTCTGTTAGGTCAAGATTTGAATAAACTCTTTAAAAGTTATATTTACAAAATGACTTTAAAATCCCTATTCTTTAAAGACAAGTGCGTAATATAGAAATGCCTCTTCACACTGACCAATATGAGCATTATCTGCTATAAAGAACCTTCCAACAATGTAATATATTTCGTCTAAGCTCTGGTTTCTGGCAGTCTTTATTAATGTTTCCAAACTTTCTTGAGTTTGTACTGATACAAAACAATTAAACTACAGTGTGCTATGTTATTTTTTCCTGAGAAGAACATGTTTGTATGATGACAGGACCCGTTTTACTGCATAAGAAAAAATATTCTCATGTTTCGATATAAAGTAAAAGTGCATATTTCATCAGGCCCTCTTTTTCTTTCGTGAAAGAACACACCAAAAATAATTTGTTGTAATCTTTAAATTTTAAATCAAAATTAACTATTCAACTTTAAAATATAAAACATACTCTCGCTTTTCAAAGGGGCTTTATACATATTAGTAATGCTCTAATTGGTTTATTAATTCCTTGCCAGAGCTTCTGTTAAACCATCAGAATATCTTTGATTTATATTTTCGACGGAGCATTTGGGTAACTTTGCTCCTAATCAGCATTGATATTCCAACTCTAATGATAATATTTTGGGGTTTTTATTTTTCTCCAGTGATTGTTTTTTTACAAATATCCTGATATAAGTAGAGTTCCTGTTTAAATTTCGATATTTCTTTTTAAATTGTACAAAAAAAAAGATAGGTAGGTACCTCTACACCCCCCATGGTCAAATGCATATTGGTGCATTAAATCCCGAGGTACAGATGTAGTAACCTCACTTTGTGGTTATATTTTAGAGACACATATAGAATGACAGAGAAGTAAGGGCAATTTATGCCACCATATGGCTAAATATATGACAAAGCTTCACTGAAAAATATGTTCCTTTGTTAAGATTCATAGGGGAAATGTTTTAGTCTGTTAGTCACCCACATTAACTGCAATTTTTTTCTCAGAACAGAAATTTCAAAACCTAAGTAGAATTGTGAAAAAACAGCTTTCGTATGAATGAAATTTAGTTGACTGAACGGCAACAGGCAGTTACTCTGCCTAAACAATCTATCAAAGAATAGCTTTTTTATGTATAAAATTTTCATTTTGTTTCTGTTTAGTTCATAGTATTTTACGAGCTTTATGCGACAAAAATGTGGTATTTCCAGTTACAAAATGACTTCCCGACAAGTATGAGATAGAATTATCCGCAATAATGGCAGAATTCTACCAGGAAAAATTACAAGACTTCTTGTAATTAACGGTATTGAAAACAAGTGTTCATTTTGTGAGAAAAGTTGAACAAACTTATGAAAACATATAAACATTATTCACTAAAAGAAAAATCAAGACTCATACCCACCTGTGACAACAGACTGTTATCACTTCAAGTTATGGAACGTTTAAACCTGAAGTCTTCCTTCTTGTAAAATAGACAACCTCAATACTAAACGCTGAACGAACTCTAGAAGGACTTCTCTCTGCAAGGAGTTTGTTTGTTTGTTATGAATTTCACGCGAATCTACAGGAGGGCTATCTGCGCTAGCCGTTCCTAATTTAGCAGTGAAG